GTACACAAGATGAAAAAGACATCTCGGATACATCAAAAGCTACTTGTCTACGTATACCGGAACATTCATCATCCGATTCAGAACGTATAACAATAGCTATAGTGCACCGTACACATGATGAGGAAGATATCTCAGATTTATCAGAAGTAACAGACATCAAAATCAAAAGTTTACATGATCATATATCGGAACGTTTAACAACACCTACAGTACACCGTACACAAGAAGCTTTCATCATCGAGGAAAAAGAACGTATATCAACAGTAGAAGAATACCAAGTAAAAAGGTTATTTGATCACCGTATACCAGAAGACTTTAGGCTAAAAAAACAAGATGCAAGAAGAAGAAAGCTACCACCAATACCAACACATACACCACGAAATCAGATAATCAAAAGTTTATATGCAAAATACTTTTTGCCACAAACAGACGATTTTAACCACAGAATAAAATTATTAGATACACGCAAGCAATATAAAGAAAAAATTGTAACAAGAAGAAAGCTACCACAAACACCAAATGAAGAAGATACCTCAGATTCATCAGATTCAGCATTCATCAAGCTAAGAGAACGTATATTAGCAAGGAAAAAACCTAAAATTAACCGTACACATATACCAACACGTACAATTCATATGCCAGAAGACTTTTTGCTACACAAAAAATATGCAACAAGAAGAAAGCTACCACAAACACCAGTACCAACATTTATACCAATTCTAACAGATACACGTTTTGGAGACGATATGTCAGATGAACAAACAGATACAAGCGAACATATATATGAAGTTATACCTGACGATGTATTACCTAAACCGAAAAAAAAGGAAATCGAATTGATATATGAGGAAATCGATTCGATATATTACTATAAGAGGTTTGGATATTGGCCACAAACAGAAGTTGCAATAAGAAGAAAGCTACCACAAACACCAGTACCAATAGTTAAGGCCATTGATAAATTTATACCAATTCTAACAGATACACGTTTTGGAGACGATATGTCAGATGAACAAAAAGATACAAGCGAACATATATATGAAGTTATACCTGACGATGTATTACCTAAACCGAAAAAAGAGGAAATCGAAATGATATATGAGGAAATCGATTCGATATATTACTATAAGAGGTTTGGATATTGGCCACAAACAGAAGTTGCAATAAGAAGAAAGCTACCACAAACACCAGTACCAACAGTTAAGGCCATTGATAAATTTATACCAATTCTAACAGATACACGTTTTGGAGACGATATGTCAGAAGAACAAAAAGATACAATATATGAAGTTATACCTGACGATGTATTACCTACACCAACAGATGGTGAAATCGAAATGATATATGAGGAAATCGATTCGATATATTACTATGTGAGGTTTGGATATTGGCGACGAACAGAAGCTGCAATGAGAAGAAATCTACCAACAATACCACAAACAGAGGGTGCAATAAGAAGAAATCTACCAACAATACCACAAACAGAAGGTGCGAGAAAAAAGCTACCAAGAATACCACAACAAAAAGGAGATACAACAACAAGTAAGACATTTGATATAACTCCACTAGTAACATCAGAGATACGCCAACAATGTGAAAGAATGAGTACCCGTGACAATATAAAAGAAGAAAGTGAATTTGATTTCAGACCATTAAGCATTCCATTAAGAAGTGAAGACATAATATCAACATTATCAGACTCAATTCTTTCAAGGCAGCTGACTGAACAGTCACGAAGAGAAAAAGAAAGTAGTGTAGCATTATTTGCCGATTTACTAACAGAGTTCGAAATAGTCAAACGTAATTATCGTAGAATGCCAAAAGACTACTGGCCTGATGATATATCTATTGCCTCTTCTTGTTCAATTGAATATGTACTATCATCCGAAGATGGAGCACATAGTACTCCTGACATGTCATCGCATGCAAGCGACATCAATTTAGTCAGAACTGCGTTAGAAATTATTCCTAAACAAATTGAAATGATGAATTGGCGGATTAAGGCCGAAAAAAAGAAAGAAGCTGTAATACTTGAATATAAGGCGATGTCGTTAACTGAACAGAATACGATGGATAGAGAAGACGATACAAGCGAAAGTTATGATGCGTTATAATCATCATCACGAGATTCACCGCCAAAAAAGGCACTAAAAAAATCACCAAAAATACAACAAAAGATATAACAAATTCATGAGACGATTATTATAAAGCATAAAATGGGTTCGAAATTATTTAAAACAAAAGATGATTTAAAACTTAATAAAAATTATTTGATTTCAATGTGAAATTCAGTTGTTTCATATAAAAGATATGCTTAAAATGATCCGTTTGATTTCATTCAATCATAATAGATAACATATAAATTGGACTCTCTTTACAAATTTGTTTCAGTGTAACGAAATGATTGAATTGAGTAGACATAACGTTTACATCCTGAGTGCTGTTTTTCATTTTTTGTAATCCATAAATTGTACTATATAATGTTATGGCGAAACAGCACAAAATGTAAATATAAGGCTATTCAATTTGAAGAGCCCATTTGCATGCGACAACATATGAGAGTAATTTAGAACAACAGTTAGAACAGCACTGCCAATGAATAACCACAACAAATAACCTTAAAATCATAGTGTGACATGTTCTATGTTTATCGTATAGTCCCAAGTCTTGCATGCAATTACAATGGAAGATGAACAGAGAATCGAATATGAAAGGATCGAACAGCAACAATTACAAATATTGTTGGAAGATTATGAAGAAGGAGAGAGGCAAATGAAAAATATAAGTAAAAATTTGTGGAAAACAGAAACAACAAAAAGAGGGAAAAAATGTTATGTTGATCTTTTTGACTCTGCATTCGGCAATAATCATAGAAATCGGCCCAGTCGAGAAGTTGAATCGTTTAGTGAAGTTCCAGATGGCAAAGATAATGAAATTATCAACAACGAAACCTCAGATTGGAAACTCGATTATTTGTCCATTAGTTGCACTGGACTACTACATGCAATGAAAGTTTACGATTCGCAGAAGTCGATTCAATACATGTCGCTTTAGCATACGCAAATAGAGCAGCATGTTTTTTTTTTAATTGGAAGAGTACCAACAAGCATTGAATAACATCAGAATGGTAAAACGAAGTGAAAATCTTCCTAAATTTTTTATGGAAAAACTTGCAAAACTGGTAGAACAGATTAAAATGAAAGTTGAAGAGGAAATGAAAGTGAAAATTGACAAAGAAACATGGACAGAAGTATTGAATAAGAATACAGAAAAAATTGAGGAAGAGACCCCAACTGAGCTACGAGGCCAGCATACAACACCCATCCATGGCCCATGTGGTGGAGATCAAAGAGAGTGAACTATACGGTCGATATATAGTTTCAAAGTATGACCTTCCAGCTAAACAAATCATTTTGATTGAAGAAGATTACCTATATGTAATTAGCCTTAGAAAACTTCGTACATGCTCGACTTGTTTTGAAGAAGATAACGATTTCATTTCGTGTGGAGGATGTACACTGTACAGAGGCATTGTTTTGCGATAAGGACTGTCAGAATCGTAACAAATTACACAAATGGGAGTGTAATACATTCATAACAAAACTGGACTTTCGTCTGGAAATCGTTATTTATTCAATTTTAATGGCCATCGAAGCATTTACAACAAATGGTATGACAAATGTGGCCGGGCTTATTAAATGCGTAGAACAAATGTTGATCAGTAAACAATGACTCGAATCAACGCTTAACTCGAAATCGAGGTACCAATTCTTCTTTAATTTGCTATTGTCAGCTCGTTCGTTTGGATACAATGGACCGTACATCGAATTAAAATCGTCGGAAATGAATTTCGTAATCTTTTCGTTGCTAATGAAAATACAAAGAATTCAGATGAAAATAAACGCCGTTTTCTCATGCATTTGATCGCCCACCACATTCTAGTTATCAAGACCAACTGTTTCGTTGATGATGAATCACAGTGTGTAGGACTGGTAAGAAATACTTCTTCGAAAGACTATTAAGTTTTTAAAAAATAATATTTTTTTTTGGTATTAAAACCAGGTTCAATCCTTATTCAATCATTGTTCACCAAATATTCAACACGATCAAATTGCGAACGAGCAATTTTACTACACAAGTAAAAAGATGGATAAAGGGGATCAACTTTACATATCTTACATTATCGTTGAAAATCATAAAGATCCACATAGCAGGCGAGAGATTATTGAGAAAAGTTGGGGCTTTGTTTGCAATTGTATTATGTGTAATCCATCGATTTTCAAAAAATTTACCGGAAAGTGCAATCTTGTAATCCAAGCTATTTAATCAAATCGCTTTGACACACAAGAAACAGATACAAAAAAAAAATGAATGAACAATTCCGCAATAAAATGAACAAAAACAGATTGAAAACAATTTAAGTTTGAGTCAAATGTATTTAATTTCAATATGAAATTCAACTGCTTTTTTTTGTGAAAGATATGCAGAAATGAACTAAAAGTGTTAATTGAAATTAAATTTATTAGGCCCGAGTTTTTGAGATTAATCAAGAGTTGCCAAAAATATTAATTTTCGTATGAAAACCGGAATAACGTGAAAGGTGCTGAACATTAATTTTTAGCGGCAAAATAAATGTTTGACAATTAATTACGGAAAAAAAATTGAATATAATTCCCTTTGAATTTAAATATCGATTATCTCTCGAATCAATTGCAAAAAAGGCTTGTACTCGTACTATTGAATTCTGTGGCTCCGTAATATGTAAAATTAGTTTCAAAATCAAATAGTGTGTTTATTATATTATTTATTATTCAGGAAGAAGTTCTTCCGAAGAACTAAACCAATTGTCAGACGGAAAATAAGATATTTAATCACTGAAAAATAATTTCGATAAATCTTTTTTATTAAATTTAGTAGTTTTAGTTAGTATGTGGAAAATAAAAAAACAGATATATTTTTTTCTTGTAAATTAAATATTTTTTTTATTTTCTCAAGTGTCACACATATAAATGGATTATACTGTTTCGACAGTCGAAATAGCGATCTAGATCGGTTCGTGGTATTTTGGGCTTCTTTATTTGCACGTGTGTCTTTAGATTTTATGTTTTTATTTGATGAAATTTTCCGATCAAAATCGAACTACTCGAATGTAAAACGTTGTAAAACTAAATACAAGTTTGCTTTTTTTAAATTTAAACATTATTCATCGATGTGTATTTTATTCTTGGTTTAGATAGATAACAAATCAATTGAATCCATTCTATACTTTTGATGCGATAATGATATGGAAATGAAGTTGGCATTTCTGTTTATAAATCATAAATATGTGTGTCGGCATTTGTTTTTTCTGTCTGTATGTGTATATTAGAAATGATGAAAAAACATAAAAATTTCGATTTTTAAAAAGTAAAAATTAGAATATTTGTTGGGACGATACGTTTGACGTATGCAGCTCGTTTCGATTTTCGCCCGTTCGATGATGTCTCTAGTTTTTTTTTTCTTTGTAATGTATCATTTTTTTTAAATTCTGCGTATATGAAATTTTTTTTTTCTTTGGATTATTTTAAAAAATTAAGTTAATAATTTAAGCGAAGAAATCGTTTTCAGGTGCAAGGTCGAATCTTGGTGGGAAGGTGCCAAATCCATCTGGTCTTACAGATTGTGCTCGTGGCTGTAAAAGAGTAAACAAATAGTTCGATTAGAAATTCTGGCATTTAATTGAAATTTTACAAAAAAAAAAAAAAACAATAATGTACAAAATGATTCAACGAATGAATAAATGAATATTCTATACACCCTATAGGAATATTTTAAAGCATCGGGGTAATATTTATTGCTGAACAATTAACTCAATACGATATGAAGTGACGTTGTATACCTAACAGTTTTATGTAGTAATTGTTGTTTGTTTTCTGTTGTTTTAAATTTTTGTTTGGTTGCATCTGTTTCTTTAGTATTAGATTTGTACGACGTGTGTAAATACTACAAAAAGGAGCACGTTTTGTGGTGCACTTTTCAATTATTTTGTTCTGAATCTGAATTGTTTTGTAAGTGTAATAAGAATGGTGTGCAAGAGTGAGACTATAAAATATATCGAATTTGGTGAGAAATAAAAAATTCGTCACAGAAAATGTGTGTGTGTGTGTGCATCGATTAGAAAAAAAACAATTGTTTGAGATATGAAATAACAATAATAATCAATATAAATACAAAATTTTATGTGGGTATACTATGTATGAGAAAAGAGAGAGAGATATTTTTAAGCAGCACATTCAACAACATTTAAAACAGTCATTTGTGTGTGTGTGGGGAAGGAATTTTGATGGCTTTGGTTTTTCATTCTTTTTCAAATTCACTTACAAATGCTGATTAACTAATTATTCCAGCGCACTCTTGCGTACCAGTGGTACGGCTTTACTTGCTGTTTGCTATATAATCAAAAATGAAATCGATTTTACAGTTTCGTTCGCGTTCATGTTTTTTTTTGGTGAGTAATCGCGGTTTAAATTTTTGGTTTGTGGAAATCAAAATAAATGTAAAACTATTCATTGAATCAAATAGAAGAGATACTTACGCCTGGGCTTCCACCACGTGCAACTGAACCACCACGTCCTTTGGCACGGAATTTGCTGATGGCTTGTTCAGCCAAGTCAGCGCGCTCTTCAGCTTCCTCGAGTTCTTGTTGGGCTTTGCGGAATTTGGCCAAATTGAGAGCGGCAATTTCTTCGGCTTCTTCGATTTGTCTCTTGTATGTCTTGATCTTTTGTTGAAGTTTGTCGACCAAGTCTTGCATACGTTCGTGGTTCTTGCGGTCTTCTTCTGATTGGAAGGTCAATTCCTTGATGCGACGTTCTGATTTGCGGAGATTCTTTTGGGCATCGGCATGTCGTCGTTGTTCACCATCCAATTCATTTTCGAGTTCACGGACACGTTGTTCCAATTTTTGGATTGCTTTCTTGCCACCTTTAAGTGCATTGGCTTCGGCTTCATCCAAACGAACTTGCAATTCTTTGATTTGTTGTTCAAGGGCTTTGCGTAATTTTTCTTGTGTTTGGGCATGGTCTTGTTCGGCACGGAGTTCATCGGCAAGACGGGCAGCATCAACCATGGCTTTCTTGGCTTTTTCTTCAGAATTCTTGGCTTCATTCAACAATTCATCCAAATCTGAATGCAATGTTTGAAGTTCTGATTCCAACTTGCGTTTGGCAGCTGAAATCGATGCATTTTGGGCAGAGATTTCGTTGAGTTGTTCGTGAGCATCACCCAATTCTTGTTCGGCTTGACGACGGGCACGGTCGGCTTGTTCGAGCAATGTACGTGATTCTTCGAGTTCGTTTTGGAGTGCGTTGGCACGACGTTCAGAGATGCCAAGTTGTTCACGAGCATCGTCGCGGGCACGTTGTTCTTCTTCCAAAGCGGTTTGCAAGTCTTTGAGTTGTTGTTGGTAGCGTTTGATGTTCTTTTGGGCTTCAGCGTTAGCCTATAACAAAATTATAAAAAGAAATTACATTCATTATTGAAAATACATTACAAAATTAAAGAAATTTTTGAATACAATTTATTCTACGTTGCGTAGTAATTAAAATAAAAATTCATTTACCTTGTTGGCGTGATCCAAAGCAATTTCGAGTTCGTTGATGTCGGCTTCCAACTTCTTCTTCATGCGCAACGCCTCAGCCTTTCCTTTAGCTTCGGCTTCAAGTGAAGCTTGCATTGAGTCGAGGGCACGTTGGTGGTTCTTGCGTGTGTTTTCGAATTCTTCTTCTTTCTCTTGGATGCGACGGTCAATTTCTTGACGTACTTGCGACAATTCAAGTTGAGCACGTAATACTTTGTTCTCTTCTTGTTCCAAAGCGGCTTCAGCCTCTTCAAGAGCGGCTTGAAGTTCATCCTTTTCGGCTTCCAAGCGTTTGCGTGCCTTTTCGATTTCGTGAATGTTGCGACCACCTTCACCAATTTGGTCAAGAAGATCTTTAACTTCATCGGCGAGATTTTTGTTTTCACGACGGACAGCTTCCAATTGTTCTTGTCCTTCTTCGTATGCACCCTTGAGACGGAACAATTCGGTTGAGTAATTGCGGCATTCTTTTTGTGATGCATCAAGTTCAGCAGCCAAATCGTCGACTTTGAGTTTCCATTCGCCAATAATTTTGTCGAATGCCTTTTGTCTCTTTTCGGCAGCATTGGCAATAGCATTGGCACGGTCGACTTCCAATTGCAAGTCTTCGACTTCGGTTGACAAACGTTGTTTGGTCTTTTCCAATGCAATGCATTTTTGGTTGAGTGATTCGATGGTTTCTTCGGCTTCGGCCAAACGTGCTTGCAACTTTCTCTTGGCTTCTTCAAGTTCTTCTGAACGAGCAACACCGTCCGATTCGTATTTGGTACGCCATACTTGAGCTTCAGCGTTGGCTTTGCTGAGTTGACGTTGCAAATCGGCTTTGCCTTCACCTTCTTCTTCAACTTGTTCACGAAGGTTGTCCAAATCGTGTTCCAAATTACGGAATTTACCCAACAAAGTGGCACGTTCACGTGATTCTTCATCGGCCAAACGTTTGGTGTCTTCGAGTTGTGTGGTGAGCGAAATCTTGATCTTCGACAATTGTGAAACTTGTGATTCAGCTTCTTCGAGTTGACGGAGGAGGTCTGAGTTTTCAATTGAAAGCTTCTTCTTTTGGGCATCGAAGTCGTTGAGAGTGCGGTTGGTTTCATCGAGTTTGCTTTGTACTTCGTTCAAGGTGTGTTGGAGTTGTTTGGCGATCTTTTCTTGGGCAGCCTATATGTACGTGCACGTCATACATTTAAAATACCGATTAGTATAGAAAATCATTGTAAATTACAAAATAAAATTTGCATCGCATTGCATTTAGCTAAATATGTGTGTGTTTGTGTGTGTATGTATCTATAAATGTATATGTGTGGTGCGTATTTCAGTATATGTGTTAATACAAGTTCAGCATAGGAAAGAATTGTGGATTAGGATATAAAGAAATTTCGATAGAATTGCGTAGGCATTTAGAAGCATGTTTGTCAGTCGTCAGAATATACCTTTTCGTTGGCAAGGTGGTCAACACTTCCACGAAGATCAGTCAATTCACCGAAGTATTGGGATTTTTCCTTTTCAGCTCTATGTTACAATAAATAAGGTGATGGTTTAGATTTAATGCGGATCAAGGATTTATTTGTTTGGTTGTTTGGTTGGTTTGTTTGGTTTAAATTCAAAGGGGTTTGTTTTCATAAAATAAAAATAATATGAATATTTGGCTGGAGCACGAAGGATAACATATACCGAAAGGATGGTTTTTTGTGTTTGTACTTTGTAGATGTCGAAAGTGTTCATCTTGTTTGTATTCTCATAAAAAAGATGCAAACAAGTAATTACCTTCTCGCGTGATAGTTGGTCACAAGCGGTACGAGTATTAACGAGTTCATTGTGTGCGCTTTGACGATCGTGCTCAGCTCTAAATTTTAATTTCAATTTATTTCAATAGACACAAGATTTTAGTCCATGAAATTTTTCTCTCTCTCGAATGAATCATTAAAATTTAACAAATATATAGAAAGATAATTTCCAAAATAAAACTGTACTTACTTAGCCTTCAATTTGTTGAGTTGATCGACTTGTTCGGCCATTTCAGCAACAGCATCATTGTGCTTTTTGCGGAGATTGGCCAATGTACCTTCATGTTGAATGTTAGCTTCTTCCAAGTCACGACGGAGTTTGCTGAGTTCGGCTTCACGTTTTTTGTTGAGTTCAATTTGTGCTGATGTTGCACCACCGGCTTCTTCCAAACGTTCGCCCAATTCTTCCAATTCACGAGCCAAATCGGCACGTTGTTTTTCGGCCTTGGCGCGAGCTTGACGTTCGGCTTCAACTTCTTCTTCGAGTTCTTCGATGCGCGATTGCAATTCTTTGATTTGTTTTTGGCTCTTGCTAACAACGGATTGTTCATCTTCCAATTTGGCGGTGAGAGATGACAATTCTTTGTCTTTGCGGGCAATGGTTTGTTCGAGTTCTTTTTTGTTACGTTCCAAATCGGAAACGGCTTCTTGTGTCAATTTCAAGTCACCTTCAACCTTGCGTTTGGCCTTTTCAACATCACCGCGCAATTTCTTTTCGCGTTCCAATGAGTCTTCAAGTTCGTCCAATGTTTGTTCTAGTTTGGCTTTCACTTTGTTCAAGTGATTGATTTTGTCTTCGGCAGCTTGTAATTCTTCGCCGGTCTTTTGGTTGGTTTCGCCTTGCAATTTCTTTTCTTTGTTCAATTTGTTGATGAGCTCATCTTGGTGGGCGATTTCATCGTTCAAATTCCGGATTTGATGATCTTTGGTGGCCTTATCTTGTTCAATCTTTTGAACGCTAAGTTCCAAATCTTCGATGTCCTTCTTCAAACCTGAGCATTCTTGTTCCAATTTTTTCTTTTGTTGGAACACTTGGTTGCGGGCATCTTCTTCTTGTGACAAACGATCTTGTGTGTCCTGTTTATAAATCAGTTGAAATATTAAATTGACAGATAAAAATGGTTTCAATAATAAAAGAAATAATTACACGAAGTTGGTTGTCGAGATCGTTCTTTTGGGCTTGCAATTTAGCAGATTTTTCTTGGTATTCTTGCAATGAACCCTTTTCGCCAGCCAATGAATCCAAAAGAGCTGTCTTTTCGGCTAACAATTTTGAGTTAAGTCCTTCCAATTCTTTACGCAATTTCTCTTCAGCGGCGAAGGCTTCTTCAGCTTTACGGGCTTTCTCTTCCAATTTCTGCAGCAATATAGAATTATCGTCAATGAAATCCATAATAGACGGATTTTTTTTCATTCACAATTTCAAAATGACAAAAATCAGTCGATTTGCTTAAAACGAATTCAAAAAACTCGGCTTTCGACCTGAATTTGATGAATGTCGAAACTGAACTGAACATATTCGATCGTTTTCTCCAAATACTTTTTTTTCTCCCATTGAAAATCATCATATGATACACATCCTACGCGCTTAAAATAAATTAATTCACCTGCACAAATCAAGAAGCAACATCAAAATTCTAAATTTATAAAACTAGCAACCGATTTTGTAATGGCGCGAATAAATTTATGGCTAGAATTGAGTTGATTTCACAGTTTAATATGTTACGGTATGTTGAAAATTTTAAACGGTAGTTTGAATATCGAGTCATTATGCAACTGAATGGGATGTGTGGCATAAATCCGAATTCGTTTTAAGCTTTCGTCATATCAACAACATTGCACAATATTATATGATTTTATACTTACAGCAATTTCGTCTTCAACACGTGAAACATTGAGCAAAGGCTTGACCTTTTGCCACAATTTCCACCATGGCCAGGTACGCAATTGCATGTATTTGCGCAAGTTGCGTTGGACAACTTGGAGGGCAAGACGTTGGTCTTGGATTTTCTTGTATTCTTTACGTGACAAGTAACCACGGACCCAGGCTTGCATCCATGACATGATTTTACCGAGACGTTCATCACGGAATTCTTCCATTTGACCCAAGACACCGGCACGGAAGAATACCTATACGTTTGCAATTGATTTTCAACAGACGAAAGAGAGCGCAGAACAGGGACAAACACCGAAAAATAGTATACCGATTAAATTATGTTCATAGCTAAGTGTAACAATGTCAAAGCAACGAAAAAATCCACCCAAGTGAGAGCTGAGCTCATTTGGTATGATTTTTTCAATATTCTTTTTTTTTCGGTTAAAGCGGGTTGAAATGTGGCATGGAGCGTGTTAAGCATTTGGTTTCTTTTTTTTTTTTGTGGTTGATCATACGAAATAGTAAACAAATAAAAAATGATAAAGTATAGCGTGCAATTTGAACTACGATATGGCGTTTCAGTACCTTGGTGTTACCAAATCGAAATTGTTCAGGATCAAGATCAAGGTGCTCCAAAATAATTCTAGCAGCCTTTTCAGGAGTTATTGGCGGTTTTAGTTTATTGGCGCACAGAATTGAGTATCTGTGTTTATTTTGTGTGTGGTATGATTGGATTTAAACAAACATTTATGTAAATGGAAAAGAAAGATGAGATCAAATATGTGATTGTTAAAATTACAACTTATGAGTTAACTACGTGGGAAAACTGGGCTTATGATCTAAACCGCATCAATACGAACAGCACGTTTTTGTGGTCTGTATAAAACATGTTCTGTTCAATGCGAGTGTGGAAGCTAAAATTAAAAACGATGGTTTATCAATGTCTTTTTTTGGATAAACCGTTGGTGTTGAACTAAGGAATATGTCTTACATTAAATAAAACGACTAACTACAATTACATAAAGGTGCTGGAAATACGCAGCGTTCCTTTTTTTACAAACTCGAAAAAAATAATAATAATAATAAAACTACAACAACCGTCAAACATCTAAAAAAACACTATCAAAAAGGCTTTGAGTGAAACAAACAAATGTGATAAATGAATGGTGTACACAAGTTGAGTCATATTCATGGTATGTGTAGACGATGTCTTGGGAGTATTTTCCTTTTTACGACACAGATTTCACGATTTTTAAATCTTTTTATGTGTTGCAATTGTCATTCGAATGCAACACGAAGATGAGATTGTTTTGGTGGCATATTTGTGAGCATGATGTATGTAATCTATACACGAAGATAGTTCAAGTCTACAAATCGCATTGATTGCAGTCTCAAGTGAATGTTGTTGAAATGCGATTTGAGAACTGTGATTGAACTTGCTTCAGTTGATCAGTCGATTAGAAATATTGAGAGAGATGGCCACAACACCTATTTACAAATCGTCGTTAGAAAAGAATCACAATCTCAATTAAATAACAACTTAAAAAAAACTGTGTAGCAGCAGCGCGAATTGAGATACACAAAAAAAAAATAAAATAATTGAAAACATAATCCGTGCCTTTGTTGCTCCAAGACGGAAAGCGTCATCTGGCAATCCAGTGGATTGCAAAATAATGTCAGCAGCCTTCTTAGGATCTGAAACACCGACCAATTGTTTTGGGCAGAGAATTTGGTAGCTGGTGTAGGGGAAAGGGAAAAATGCCAAAAAAAGGATTTTTTTTCATAATTAAAAAAACATAACGAAAACGAAACAAAAATAAAATAATAAGAAACAAGTCCAACGAGCCAGTGTGGCTTAACCTAGTTCATATTTCAATGAATCAACCTGATTGTTTGTTTTCTTCGTATGAACATTAACTTGTAGAATGAATTGGTGGGGTGCAGAAAAAAGTGTGTATACGGAAAGGGAGAGCAAAAACTAGTGACTACTTGCTTAACAGAAATTTAACAAACAAAATTTGTTTCAAGAAATGCTTAAAAATTTGAGGAATAGGCAATAATAGTAATAGTCATGCCTTTGAATTTCCAAGACGATACGATTCTGGATCCAAACCGGTCGACTCCAAAATAATTTTTGCCACTTTCACTTGATCTGTAACTCCAGCGATTGCTTGAGCAGCAAGAATCTTATATCTATTTCGTATGAAGTGTGGTTGTTTTATGTTTTAAATGCAATTAACAGTAATAGGACATTTGTTCACAAACAGGAACAGTAAAACAACAAATAAATGTAAATGTTCATGAAAACAAAAATGAATCGTTTCATTCAAAAAAGATGTATGAAAAATTTGGGTGGATCGACATAACAAAACAAAAATATTCGTTGTTATTGGAAAAAAAAAAAATCAAAAATATCAAAAAGTGTAAAAAAAATCATGTTTCGAAATACGAGGGATATAAAAAATGTTCGTATCAAAAATGTTTACAAACGATTTGAGAAGTCATGCGAAACATTGACACAGAGAGATATTGATAGATTGGTTCATATGTGGTCCAGATTGGAAAAGGGCTGTGATTACCATAGATGGTATAACCAATAAACAAATAAAGACATAGTGGGGATAGAGAATTTCAAAATATCTCGCCTTTGTATGACCAATACGATACATGTCTGGATCCAAACCAACCGAATCGAAACATTTTTGTGCGGCTTTCTTCTGGTCTTTTTCTGCGGTCATGATAGCCGGTGCAATAATCATATAACTACAAAAAGTTCATTTTATCAGTTGTGCTTGTTTGTTTTCCATTTGTCTCTCTCTTAGAGAGATATATTCGACAATGGACATGATAAACCGTAATAATAAAAAAAAGTTTTCTCAAAAACAAAACAAAAATGTCTTAAGTCTTCAAAAAATAATCTACTTAATCCAAAAAAAAAATGTTTTTAATTTAATAAAAATTGAACGATAGAATGAATTGATCGAGATTTGTATATGCGGAATGGAAGCAAAAACTTACCGAAGTTTGAAGTCTGGGTAGACCATTCTGTTGGGGAAACCTTTACGGCAAATACGGATACCTTCCAACACACCGTTACATGTCAATTGATGCATGACCAAGTGAGAATCGATAACACCGGGCTGTTTCAATTCATTTGGAATAATACAACGGACGAAATGAGGTTGAGTGGCACGCAATGTGTTCATCAAGTTGTTCAATTGTTCACGGTATGATGATGAGACAGTGGCGAAACCACCACCCTTCTTACCACGACCGCCCTTAGCTTGTTCACCGCCACCTGATTGTCCTGGATGGTCAGCGAAGATTTCAATCAACAATTTGTTTGATGATTTCTTGAATTGATCGACAACGGTGTCGTTCAATGGATCCTTGTTCTTTTCCAACCAACCGGTGATGTTATAACCGACAGTACCAGCATAATGGGCAATTGCAAAGTGAGCGGCTTGTTGGCCAGCCTTTGGAGGTGCTGGTTTACGGAATGGAGCTGATTTACCCAAATGGTTGGTGTTCAATTTTTCAGCAAAGGTTTGATCGGTGGCTTTCGGGAACATAGATTCTTCTTCAAGAATTGACAAGATACCCATTGGCTGTTTGTATCAATTGACAGGAAAGAGACAAAACAATTGCATTAGAATACTTCGAAAACAACTTTCCAGATTTAAACAAAAACAATGTTCACAAACAAACTGCAAGCAATATCTATGTATAAAAGCCATTTTCACCACAAACGGTGAACTACATATAAGTGCATTTTTATTTTCATTTGGCTTACCTTGCTCAAGCGAAATAGCGTTGATGTTAGGCATTATCACGATTACAAATTTTGATTAGTAGGTTTTTGCACATTAATTAAACAGTGTACAGTACTATGGTTTTAATACAATATAGCTACATTTCAACGAAAAATTCGTTCGTATTTTCAATGCTACGCATAAATGTCCAACTGAAATTACAATTTACGGAACTACTAATACAATTTGAAATTACAAAATTCAATTACTCAATACAAAATTACTAAAATAAAACGTTGTCCTTCCAATTCGATATTTTTTGTTTGTTTCAAAATTCTCTGATTAGAAATTTTTTTTAAGAGTTTAGAGAAAACTGTGAAAACTTTTTTTTCTAGAAAAAAAAATGATTGTTTAATGGAATTTCTACTGAAATATATTGATGTCATCATCATCATCGCACCTTTTCGATAAGATCGATGCACGCTTGAAGGTCCATTCCAAAATCAATAAATGTCCATGGAATACCTTCGCGTTCGTATTCTTCTTGTTCCAATATAAACATTGTATGATTAAAATATTGTTGGAGCCGTTCGTTCGTATAATTTATGCATAGCTGATTAAAACCATTCAACTGTACCAGAATAAATGTAAAACAACGTTTCTGTTTTTGAAATTGATCTAGTACCGGTTCATTGTTTCCCCTTTGGAGTCACATTTCGTTTTGGGAAAACGCTAAACGATTATTGTTCATCATAAAATGCAATAAATAGTATTAGTAGCTTAACTTAATTATCTTAAATTAAACGGATTATTGGATAAAAACCGATTGTCACACAGTATAAGTGTTAGGAGCGTGTAATTGTGTGTGTTTTCAGCTATTCCCAGAAGCGATCTCAATACCTTTTCAATAAGTTCAATACATTGTTGAAGATCCATTCCGAAATCGATGAAGGTCCATTCAATACCTTCACGTTTGTATTCTTCTTGTTCCAACACGAACATGTGATGGTTGAAGAATTGTTGCAATTTTTCGTTGGTGAAATTGATACACAATTGTTCGAAACCGTTGTACTGTTATTTGTCAATTTTTTTTTTACGAGCACAACGATTCCGCAGAATTTTTCATTCCGATCAGATTTTGAAGAATCAAGCCAATTAAAATGTGTAGTCATCAATATGGGAGAAAATAGCGTGTTTTTTTGTTTATGTATGTGTGTTGTTTTTTTTTCCAGGATGTCACAAAAATGGAATATCGAAACCGAAAAGTTGTTTTAAAAAAAAAGTATTGAAATTAATAAATGATTGGGATGAGTTAGAAACTATAGGTAATTGGGAAATAAATAATAATAGTGACAAGAATTTGATGGGAAATCAAACGGTAGCATTCCCATTCGATGGAGTTTATGCTCATGAATAACCAGTAGATCAATAAAAAGTCCATTCTTAATGCTGATTGTGGTAGGGAGATTTTTGTATGAAGTCCATCAATGCATCGTCAATGAAGAAAACGTATGACAGAAACATGCAACAATTGACAGGTTCTGATGCACACCGATTTTTATCTTCCGACTATTTTTTTCTCGGCCAAACATTCAACAATTCAAATTCGATGTTTGTGCATCAGTTGGTGAATATTTTCGTATATTTGTTCCGTCAATTGAAGAAACATTCGTGCAGAATGTGTAACTATGGGAAAATCAATAATACCTTTTCGATTAAATCGATACAGGCTAATAAATCCATTCCGAAATCAATGAATGCCCAATCGATACCCTCTTTTTTGTATTCCTCTTGTTCCAACACAAACATGTGATGGTTGAAGAATTGTTGCAATTTTTCGTTGGTGAAATTGATGCAAATTTGTTCGAAACCATTGTACTACAAATTCATGGGATGTCAAAAGTTTTAAGTTTGTTTAAACATAACAGAATAAATAAATTGATAGATTGGACATTTTAAGACTATTTTTTTTACATGGACAATGGAGGGACAAAATATGATATGAGTTTTCAGTTTCTATCGAAAGGAGACATGTACTAAAATATTTTTTTTTACCAACAACTACCAAAGGCTACAGCTACAATGCGATTTCAAAAATGAATCCAAAATTGACTAAAATTATCTGTGGAATATAATACACAAATAGATTAAAAATTTACATCTACTGAAGGTCTACCAAAGGAATATGAAACATAGATCGATTGACGATTAACAAAAACGAAGTGAGTTACCTACTTTACTCCATCGCAACTCGTATTTTCCTTCACATTGATTTTCTGAGTATTTAAAAAACAACATAACATACAGAACTAAACTATAGACATGGATATAAAACGATCAAATTCACAGGGAACGCGCAAAATAAAATCTTTTGCATTATACGTTTGCTAAGCACCTTTTCAATCAGATCAATGCAGGCCAAGAGATCCATACCGAAATCAATGAATTCCCAATGAATACCTTCACGTGTGTATTCTTCTTGTTCCAACACAAACATGTGATGGTTGAAAAATTGTTGCAATTTTTCATTCGTAAAGTTGATACAAATTTGTTCGAAACCATTATACTATAATTTGAAGCAATTAAAATGAAAATTTATTGGAAAATTTCGTTTGTGATTGCAACCTATTGAAATATCAATTTTGGGGAAATAAAATTTGAAAAGTGGACCATCCTATGCGACCGTTCTTTGTATCAGAAAGACAAATCAAATTTAAATCAGAAACTATTGGAATGCAAAATGTGAGAGATGCCTAAAGTAAAAATAATAATAATGATATTTGGCTGCGGAAGTGAATGAGCATGTGTCTGTTTACAGTGTAAAAATGTCCACTTTCATTCTCATTTACTTCCATCAAAACCATAAATTTTGTTTTTTTAAATCCAAATTGCGAGCCAATTGTTCGCATTTAAATACTCACGTCGAAGATTTCGAAACCAGCAATATCCAATACACCGATGAAGTGTTGACGTTTTTGTTTGGTGTCAAGAGTTTCGTTACATTTCTTGACCAACCATTTGAAGAGACGATCGAAAACACCTTTACACAAGGCACCAATGGAGTTGTTGACTTGAACAACGTTACGACCTTGGGTGACGAATTCGTTACCGACCTTGATACGTGGTTTCAACAAGTTCTTGTACAAATCTTGGGTGTCGCAGCCGAGCAATTTGGCGACACGTTCACCTTCTTCCATACCATCAGCTTCGGCTTGTTCTTCGCGACCACGTTGCTTGAATTTCATACCACCCATGTGCATGACAGCGGCAGTGATTTTGTAGACATCTTGCTTTTCGTCTTTGGTGAAGCCCAAGATATCGAAGGCTTGCTATATTTTTTTCGATGATGAAATATGCGATAAATATGAATTATTAATCTGTTTATTTTTATTAAAAAAAATCTGTTTTGTTAAACATTTTAGTAAGAAAAAAGAAAATCATCGAGATAAAATCAAGGTAGTCAAATGCATGCGAACAGGGTCAAAGTGTTTTGATGTGGATTATAAAAATTAGTTAGTTTTGTTCATTTTGATTATTTTTCCGGCAAATAAAGACAAAAATTAGCCTTTTTTCAACATTAAAATGCTCATTTTTGTCTATTCAGAATAGTGTGTCTAATAAACTAATGCACTATGATTATTATCAATATCGATTCAACGACATTGATCGGGTTCATATACAAATGGAAAAGGAGGTTTGATATGAAAGTGGAATTGAGGTAATCGACTGTTGGTAAATTAACTACTTATATCCATTGTTACTTTTAAATGAAAAAAAATATATTGTTTTAAACTTCGTCTGGATCAGTTCAAAGGGAATGCACGCAGAAATTGCAGATCTAATTGCAGATTGAATGCACCGACGATAAGTTCAAGTAGATTTCTGTTTAATACAGATTTTCATATTTGGTGGATATTCATCATAAAGTAAATCGATGGTTGTGGGATATCTGTTTTTACATATATGGGTAAAATTGATGGTGGTATCGCTGCTAAAATGTAATGCTACTCATTTATTAGCTACTTCGTTCGAATTTTGTTTCGTTCTAGTTTGATGTTTCATTTCCGAACGTGGATAACGATATTTTGTCTTTCGATCTGTTGTTAAACGTTTGAGTTGTTGTTTTTTTTGAGTTTGGTGTGTGTACTAAATTCGAATACCGTATTGGTTTTGGGTCCAAGAGGTGGATACAAATTAAACACGATGCATGTGGTAAGTTGAGTCAAATCAACATGTATACACAATACACAAAACTTACATCGGTGAGCGAAAATTCTTCACCATCATCCATACTTGGAATAGTGACTTTTCCTTGAGACACATTGTAATAGTCGTAGATATTGTCGCTTAAATAGCACAGAGCTGTTGTTGAATGACAGAATCATAAAAACGAAAACGAAAGAAAACAAAAAAAAAATCGATGATTAAAAAATTGTGATCAACATAATTTCGCCCACAATTTGCTTGATTTTTGATTGTCTATGTGAGTATGGAATGGTTTCTGTCTCGATGTATACTTTCATCTTTCCTCCTAATTTAGCGTAAAAAATGTTTTTCTTTAGAAAGATTGTTCGTCACGATATTTACGCCCTTTAGAATAATAACAAACAATTATTTTGTAAAACAAAGATTCGTTATTATTCTAATGAGTTCATTTGATAAAGAACTGTTTTGGTATGTACTATTTACACTTTATACATGGGTTTCGGGGAATGTAAAAATTTTTCACAAAAAAAAAACGCCCGATAGCCAGGAGCAGGAGATGTTCAAGCTATCCAATCGTTCTACATTCTGGTTAAACGAATTCCTGGTGTCATGCTCTTCTTTTTCGATTTTAAATATGCTAATTGTATTGAATTTAATTTATTCGAATCAAACGTTCCAGCTCCCAGCTATGAATACTGTACAATTCATTATTGTTTTGGGAAAATATTTACACATTTTGGCATATTTATTTAGCATTGCAGATGGATGAACAATTCGACTGACTTACATGAACCAATTCAAATTCGTCACCATCGTTGACACCAGGAATCCTTGTTTTACCTTGGCTTATAGTAGGATAAGTGGAAATGTGTGTTCCCAAAAAGCACAGTTCTGTTGTGTATTTTTTTTTTTCACATTCATCACAATATAACATTAGTGCATAAATAAAATAATCAATCACATTCCTGAACTAATTTTTTTGTTTTCATTTGACCTTATCAACTAAATTTTGCTGATTGAGAACAAAAATAAATTGTCTTTTTCTAAAGCGGCATGCATAATAAAAAAAATGACAAAAACACTAAAATGTAGATAAAGTTTTATAGTATTTATGTTGTTAAAATAAAATAAGACTGAAACTGGGCTGTGTCTTACATCAATCTCAAGCCATTCTGCTGCATCATCAACGCCAGGTATTTTTGTCATGCCTTGTGACACAATACGATAGTCGTTTATGTTGTTAGACAGCATCAAATACTCTGAGTATTATATTAGGGAAATAAAACCGTTACATAGGTCTTTGTGTTGGTGGTGGTGTTAAATCTTTATGATAATGTTATTCAGTAAAAAAAAAAACTAACTCAACTAAATCTAAATTAGTGATTTCATTAAAATAACATCTGGCATCATGTCTTGAGTTTGTGCCATGGGAAAATGCCTAAAATTATTTGTGGTCAGCCATGTCGTGTGCGAGAAGACCATTGGGTTTTAAAGTTAACATTATAAGTAAAACTCGAAAAAAACGTGGGGAAGTGGAAAAAACGAGCCGATGTCTTACGTCGGTTAATGAGAATTCTTCGCCATCATCAACGTTTGGAATGCTGGTTTTTCCTTGTGACACAACATGATAGTCCATGACGTTGTTGGAGAGCAAACAATACTCTACATTATTCATGGACAAATGTGATGTGTATTTTGTTTGTTGTGGATTTGGTAAAAGTAGTACATAGGTGTCAGGAGTTGATGATCAAATTTGGGAAAACATAGTATACAACGGAAAATATAAGTGCATGAAAAAAAATTCCATTAGAAATTGTTTCGTTTTTCGAAATATTGAGGAGATATCTCTGTTTGTTTTGGTTAGTCATTTCAAATGATACTAAGGTCTAGTACTGTTCTAAGGGAAAAAAACAATTCTGTAAACGAATGATGCTAATAAAATACGTTGATTATTATTTACATATATGGCTGTCAATTGCTCTGCAGACTATGACTCATCAGCAAATTTTTATATTTAAAAAACAAAAATTAAAAAAAAAAAGTTCCCTTCGCAAAACTAATCAACAATTTAAAATAAGTTCCTAACATATGTGTGCTGTATATTTTTGAATTGGTGCATTTGAATTCGAAAGGAATAAAAAGTTCCGATTTGTATACCTTTAACTCCTGGAACTGAACCAGACATGATTTGGTAGAAGATGTGGTATGAACGTTCCAAAGATTGTTGGGAGATGACACGAGCTTTTTCCAACAAGTAGGTTTCGATATCAGCACCAGCCAATTTACCAGATGGACCGAAATGAATACGGATGAATTTACCCTGTTGATTATTCGAAAACAACAATTTAGCCATATGTTGTGACGTATGTTGTCTCATTTTTTTGTTTTAAATACTTACGAAACGTGACGAGTTATCGTTACGGACGGTCTTGGCGTTACCGAAAGCTTCAAGTACAGGATTGGTTTGGACGACTTGATCTTCCAATGAGCCCTTGCTTTCTTGAACGGCATCCTTCTTTTGCGATGCACCAACGGTGGCGAAGTAGGCAATGACCTTTTTGGTGTTTTCAGTTTTACCTGCACCAGATTCACCAGTAATCAACATAGATTGATTTTCATGGTTGGTCAACATGTTGACGTAGGCACCATCAGAAATGGCGAAAATATGTGGTGGAACTTCATTACGACGTTTACCACGGTACATCTTGGCACAACGGTTGGTATAGACTGGGTAGCGTTTGTATGGATTGATAGCAACGCAGAAAAGACCGGAGTAAGTCTGTTTTAAGGTCGAAATAGACATTTGGTATTTGTGATAAAGAAATCAAATTAGTAAATTGTTTTACAATGTGATGCAAAGAAAACAGTACAGTCATTGAATTTATGGGCAATTGATATGATTTTTCGTCAATAACCCAATCATTCGGCGCTCATTTAATAGAAAACGCATTATAAAATGCGATTCGTATGAAATGAAAACGTGACTGACGTTTTTTCTTGAAGAAAAAGAAAAATACGAAAAACGAATCTATGACAAACAGTAAAAAAAGGGTATCACGTTCGCTACATGATAATTTTTATATCTTTTGTAGGCGAACCATTTTTCACATATTTAGATTTTATTTAAATATGATATCGGAGAATGGAAAATCGTGCGTCCGAGGGGAAGTATTTATTTTGGTCACACTTTTATGCAAGGAATCGTGGTGATTTTTCTGGACAGTTTAAGTAATCGTTCACTGTCAGTAACGAAATGGATTTTCTATCTTTAAAAAAAAGTCGTACTCCTATTGGTCAATTATTGGAGTTTGACTCTTTTAATAAAACTACGGAAATGAGATCACAAAACAGATCTAATCTAAGTGGATAAAAGGGGTAACAAAAGATGCAAGTTGAAGTAATTTTTTTTCTTTTGAAAACCGGCAATGTCATTTGTCCAGCTGGTGATTAAATATTTGTAAAAATCAATGAAATTTGTTAGTGAGGTTTCTTTTTTTGAGAAATATGTTAAATAAATCTACTTAAGGCTAAGATTCAAAATCGTGTCCATTAAATTTCAATTTAATTTTGTAAAATTTGTAGTTTTTTCAAACGATCAATGGAGATTGTTAGTTATTTCTAATATGGTGTATTCTAATGTAAAATGAAACGATAAAAAAGGTGGGGTACATTGAGTGCGGTACTTTGGTTTTACACAATCATGAATTTGTCTGTACTTCATGAATAGGAGAAAACGAAGTCATTGCACATAACACGAAACAGAAACGGTGCCAAACACTGATCTTTTATCGTGCAACTTACGTAGATAAGTTTATGGTAGTAACGTTGCTTCAAGTTGTAAAGGACAGAAGCATCGTTAAGATATGTCAAGTTTGACATATCTTCAGCCTTCTCATATTTTGGTGGATTGACTTGTGTAACCAAATCTTTCTTGAAATCTTTGGTCTTTTTTTATGTTCAAAATCACCAGAGAAATAAAAAATACGCGTTTTGTCATAGATTTTCCAAGTTCAAGATATATTTTGTATTACATATCGACGCAGATGACAGACAAGTGGAAGAGAAAAGAAGAAATAAATTAGTTAAGTTTGATCATTGATACTTACATAGATGAGTTTGTAGTAATAACGTTGTTTCAAATTGTGCAAAACTGCACCTTCGTTGAGATAGGTCAAATCGGCCATATCTTCGACTTTTTCGAATTTTGGTGGATTGACTTGACCAACGTCCTCTTTCTTAACATTTCTAGTCTAAACTCATGAGAAGTGAAATTGATTTTAAATGGATAACATTTTTTTTTAATGGATGTGTTCATGATGAGGTTTTATAAATAAAAAAAGGTCGAACAAGGAAATGATAATAAATCACTAGAGAAAATGATTTTTGTTTGTGTACGATTTTGCATACCTCTCCACCTGGAATTCCGACGGAAACGATGTCTCCCTTGGTGGCCTTGATCTCACCCAAGACATAACCATCCTTCTCGTCTGGCACCCAACATGCTTTCTTCGAATCGTATGGTTTCGATTGATCGATACGCTTTTGTTCGAGAGAAACGAAAAGGTATGGGGTTGGATCTTCGTTTTCTTGATTTGGCGGTGGCTTGCCCATTTTCGATAAACTAACGGTTCAACAATGTATACACAGAGAAAAAAAACTAAAGACACGTGTGCGTTTTTCTTTTGAGAATAATTTTGTATTTCGTTAATCCAGTTTGAGCCCAATCGCCTCCCTGAAAAAAAAAATCGTTGAAAAAAATATATATGAATTAAATATGTTCTTTGCTGTACAGGAGGATTGATCGACATTTAAATTAAAAAATGAAAGAAAATCAACAGATTGCGTAAACAAGTACAGTTGAACGTTAAATGTTTTGCAGTATATACATTGGAATGTTGATTCGACGAGAAAAACATTTGTTCGGAGGATTTGCTCTCCTTTTTTTTTTAAATTCATTTCACATAAAATCATTCTGAATATGTCTTAGCATATGCGCGAAAATTTCTTGTTGCCTCCGCTAGTCCTAAATATAGATAGGCGATAAATTTGCCTTCCACTTATAAAGTTTTTCATTCCGTGTGGCGATGTGATTTGATTTTCGGCTATAAATAGCCACCGAAGTCAAATCGATGAGTGTAAATTTCGGAGCTTGAAAAACTGTACCGTGATCACCAGTCAACATAATGTATGTGCGCTGACCAATTTACGAAATATTTTATTCGGACGATATTTTTTTTTTTTTTTTGAAACGAATGTTAAAAAAAAATCAGTCAAAAATATAAAAAAGCTGGATATTTTGTTAGAGAAAATCAAAATTCGGATTCTCGCCTAATTTTTTTTGAGATTTTGATTTTTTTCCAAATTATCGTATTTTGTTTTTTTTTTTATACCATTTAAAAATAAATGTTGAAAGTCCGAAGCAAAATTTGAATCGAATACGTTAATTATTTACGTGGTTGCGTGAAAATGTATGACTCACTTGTTATGAAAAAGTGAGCTATTTTTATGTTTACGTAACAAATTCGCGGCGAGCGGTATTCGTATGAGAAATATATGTCTGAGATGTAAAAGTAGGTTGGACCTGATGTTGAAAACGATCAGCTATGAAAAAAAAAATTGAGGAAATTATTTCTTTTTTTTTCTTTTTTTTCGTCAAGAAAAAAAAACAACCATTTGAAATATTTGCGTAATTTATGCTTGTGATGTATTATTTTTGAACACATTTTCACATCGTCGAAATATTATTTCGAAATTGGATTGCAATTACAATTGATGAGCTTGTAAAATTGTCCACAGTTATCACATAAATTTAACAAGTGTGCTTACACAAAAAGAACCATTCAACTTTCGAACTCAAATTATTTTCTTTTTCTAAATAAAAAAAAAACTTCACGCGCAATTGTTTAAATGAAAATTCGAATACAAATGTTCGCCGAAATATAAGGTTGCAAATGTGAATCGATGAAATAACTCAATAGCACTTTGTAAAATCGTAAAAAAGTGTCACTTAATTGTACACTGACACACTTTTGAATAAAAACTTATCAACTTTGAAGAAAAAAAAAATTCTTGAATATACCTGAATTGAAAATTTAAAAAAAAGTCGAGAAAAAGTTAGCTTAAAAAACTCTACACGCAAAAATTAAAAGAGCCCAACATTAACGCGATGCAGCACGGTCGAGATGCGAAATCGCAGTGATGTGTCGATTTTCGGTCGAGATCGTTTGGTGTGTGGTGGTGGGCAAGAGATTTATTTTGGGAATGCGCGCACCGAACGAGAATAAAGAAAATGAATAAGAAAAAGAAAAATAAAAAATCTTCAATGCAATATAAGTCGCTGTTGTATTCAAGTTTCGTTGGTTTCGTTCGCAACGGTGAGCGGTTCTTTTTTTATTTCTGGGATCTGAGGAATTCTATTTGCGTAACATAGCTATTTGACCAATTTGAAAACACATTCAGAACAGTGTTACCAAATACAAAATATTTTCACACATACACATACACCGATAACTTTCGAATTTGTCGCCAGTCTGCAAAAGGATTACGTATATTGATTATTATTTTATTTCAATCAATCATTAATTTACTATGCAACATAATATCGCAATCAAATTGTGATTTTCATGGAAAAATTAACTAAATAGAAAAATATATATGCTGAAAATAATCGGAGAATCGGTCGCTCATAGATTTTCGCCTGCAAATTTGCGTAGGTGGAAAATGTTCTTTAAAACAAAAACAATTCACACTCGTTCCATTTATACGTTGCTCATACAGGCCAACGTTTTCTTTGACATTTTTATGCGAGGAGCGTTATATAACATTTTGATACGAAATTTTCTTTTTATAGTCCAAAAGAGAGTATAGTTTGTGACTTGAGATTTTTTTCTTAATTTTTCATTCATACTGAAAACAAACATTTTAAAGGCACCCATCACACTTGAATTATTTGTCTTGAAAGTGGCGATTGATCAATTTTTTTTTCTTAAATTTCATATTTTCTGATCACTATAAACACAATATCGAGTGTAATAGGCACCCTTTGAAAATGTTGAATTCACATCACTCTTCTTCATTGGAACCAATAAAAAAAAATGTCATTGGAAATGTGGAAATAGCTTTCAAGCTGATTAATCCAGTGTTCGAATTGAACGAAATGAAGGGAGAATATTCGAAGAAAAAATCACATAAAAAGCACTGACTTTTCACGATCACTCAAAATTCTTTCAATTATTGTTCACACTGTAATCCTTGAATACGCAATCCGATAGCAAGGCAAGATTGATAAGCCACTATGAATGCACTGAACAGAAGATGAAAAAAAGAAGATTTTTTAAAAGGCTAGCCAAAAAGACGATGTTTTCACTTACACGTTCGAAAGACGTTCTGACCGCTAAAACCGGTAAGCTCGCTTTTATACCAGCCAATTCGTCACTAATATTAACGTAAGCGTTAAACTCCTGTCGCCCGGATTGGCTTTCCTTTTTTGAAATTAAATATAATCAATAGTACAATGTACATAAGCGATGTTGTGTGAGCCGCTTATATACTTTGCTCGAATACATTCTCAAACCGTCAAGTTTCACCGTACGATCTGTCACTCAGTAAAATACATCGAAATGTGATGAAATTACGATCACAATGATGTTGAGTGTATTGGTAACGTGATGAGACTCACATCTCTTTCAAGTATTTTTCAATTTGTCAGACATGAATTCTTTGCTTAATTTACGCAGAGATTCGTGAAAATTCAACAAAAAAGAAGAAGTATGAATTAAATGAGTGAGAATTACCATTTACTTTCAATCGATAAATTTGAAAAATCTTCAAATTTCCTATATATTGTTGGTATGATCAATTTGATGGTATATGAATCATAATATTCCTCATCAAATGCAATAAAAAATAATGAATAAATTTCGAAAAAATCTATCAAAATTTTTTGAACGTAAATGTAATTTGGCATTTTTAATTGCTTTGAAGCGTTTTTTTTTTTTCTAAATACATGTCGAATTGCTTTCTATGAAATGAGAGAGAAAGTGTTGTACTCATACATATCGAACATTCTAGACTCGCATTTCTCGCATCAACAACATCGTTCTGTGTATTAACATTTGCGTAGAAATTTTTAGATACCTGTTTGATGAACAATTGATTGGACGATCTACGTTTCAAATAATTTTTGTTTTTATTTCATTTAAAATTTATGTGTTTGTTTGGTGATCTGAATCGTAAAAATGGTCGAAAAATATGCATTTTTGCTATTTTCAATTAAACTGTACCAGCGTTTATTTTTGATATTTGAAAAAAGTGCGATTGGTTATCAGCTAAAAATACATAATAAATGGTCAAGTCAAGAGCAAATCGGTCATTTTTAAATGAAAAACAAGTATAAATAGGATGGAGTCTTCAGGCCAAATAAAGGTGTGTTTGTACACATACACGTAACATACGCAATCGATGCAAAATAAACCTCTCTCACATATGGATCATTTTGACAAAATGCAAAACAACATCTTTAAGAATACAATTGTTTTTCACCGAAATTGACTAAATATATCCCGAATCGAAAAATACAATACGCAATAAATGTTAATATCCCGCTTGGAAACATTTCTTTCAATGGTTATTTAGTAAAAACTCAGTTGCATTCGGTACATCGATGAAGATATTTCTCATACGGGAAATTCATAGATCACTTTTAAATGTTCCTTAATCCGGTGATGGTGGCTCATTTTCGATGCACATCGCATCTGTTTTCGTTAAGCGGTCGGTGACTTATTTTCACGTCTCACGATATTTGTTTTGAAAATACGAAATATGACATGCAGTTGGACGAAACAAACAACATTTCGTGTAAACCAATCGATATAATAAAAAAAGCTATTCATGTATTAATCTATGTATATACGCCGGCCATATTGCTGTTTTGTTTGTGTTGCAATTAATGGGCGACACCATCGAATAAATCAATGGATACGAAAACATTTAACTGCGTTGCACATTTCAACAGGCACATTTTTCGCATGTTCAATTTCACATTTTCGTTTCGTTTCAATCATATTTTGGTTTTGAATAAATGACACGTTTTTTTTAAACGATTTTAATGAACGTTGCCATAACTTAATGATCGAGTCAAATAGAAAATGCATTTTTGGCATATCACATTTGCGGTAAATGTAATCCAATAAGTGCCACAGGCGCCTGACGAGACAGAGGAGAATGACAGACCGAATCAGATAGTGCAACACTGCCAAATTATAAAATGTTTTTATTAGCAATGATAAATATGTGATTATGTTCGAGAGTGTGTCTTGAATCAAAAATGTGTTTTGCTAAGGTCTTACGCGCAACAATTGCGTAACTTTTTTTTTCAACAATTTGGCACGTTTGTTTGCATTAAATTAAATTTTGTTTGATACATTAAACAGGGGAAGAATCCAATAGAGTAAAGTGAGCACGCACTGCCATACAGCTCGATGAAATGAAAGCAGAGAACCGAAAATAAAGCCAAATCGAAAATTCTGTCGTTTTTTCGAGTATTTTGATCGGTTTAGCCATTGAATATAGCCAAAGCAACATGTATAACAAAAGAAATAAAAAACTGAAATGAATCGAGAGAAGAAAAGAACGTACAGCTTAAAGCATGCCTATGAGATCAGTCACACATAACATAATGATGTTGTTGTTGTCTCTTTCACATCGGCTTAGTTTGTTGTTTTCCTTTCGTGATCTTCTTTTTCAATATATGTATGTGCGCTGCTATTTTCAGTAAATTCAAAATCGGTTCACATCGTTCACCCACATTTCAATCGCTTTTTTCGCTATTTTCTTTTATTTTATTTTTGCTCGTTTGCTGAAGTGAAGCATCTACGAATAGTTTTCCGACAAATATAACCACCATTTATTTCTGTATGCTACCTTGCGATATACGGATTCTTTTGCATATGAATCGGTTGCGTATTTTTCTAATCGATATATATTTGAAGCAAACAACGTCAGTAGCCTGTATATTTCAAAGTGAAATATTTTTCCCGTCCGACAGCACGAAAAGAAGCAGAGAAACAACGAAAAACAAAAATGTTACACGAAAGACACAGGCAACAAACGACAATTGTTTCAAGAATTAAAGTGATATATACACTCTCATTGGCTCGTATATTATGCATATCGTATTTTGGTTGTACTGCGACAGTAAAGAATGCACGACACATTCAATTATAATTCTTCTCAACTATTTTATATTCATCATTTTGTGAAATGTGAACATTTAATCGCTCACTTTCGCATCATGAGCAACAGAAAAAAAATAACAAAATTTTGACAACGAATACACATTCATGGAAATTCAAAATATATGTAGATGATTTTATCTTTTCTTTTTCTTTTCTTTTTTATCTTTAATTTTAGAGTTGATTTGCTTTGTCGAGAGAGCATAAAGATATGTTTGAGAAGGAAAATGATCGCTTGCTAAAAATAAAGCGGAGCAAATCCGCCTATCCGCCTATGCATTGCACCATCTTACACTCAGCGAGAAATCGAGCAAACAGTATGAGGTGATATCGTTCGCCACGATTCGCCGATTTTCTTCTGTAAAACACATTATTTTTCTAATACCGATTTTGTTTTTGTAATCGTTTCCTTCTCTGTCTCTATCTCCATCTCTCGCACCGTTCAGTACATTTGCCAATATTCTTCTTCATTTTTGGAACTACTCGATGCTAGATAATATTGAAAACGAGTACATTTCAACGCTTCAAATGCAAAATGGGAGTATGATTGTCAATCATCATTTTTTCAGTGGCTTTTAGAGATAAATGAATGAATAATTTTCACTTACAATTTACGCGTCGAACATTTTTGAAAGCGGTCAAGACTTTTTGTTTTACTGAACATTTTTGTGCATTTCAGTAACTTTATGATGTATGGCCTTTGTGCAAAGAATTGCCTTCTCTAAAACTCATACAGAAGAAATTCATCATATGTCCTCCTTAAAATTCGTTGCGTCTAGTTTTCATTCTTTAAATTTAGAAACCCAAAGGAAAAAAAACCCAGTGACGATAAACTATAGAGTAAATTAAACTGTTCGGTCGGTGATTTGGTGATTCGAAACCGTTTTCAGGGGATCGAAAGAGATGGAAATAGAGAGGGATATCTTAAAAACCACAAATTGAAATCGCAATCGTAAAACGTTTATTAGCTAGTTGCCAATCGGAATGAAAGGAAATCATTACAGAGCGTATTTGTACTGTACTAAAATAATGACATAAAATTTCCGTTTTTCTTTTCTTCTGCAGCAAAAAAGTCATTTTTTATCATTCAATTAGATATTTAATGGCTTAGCGTAATTTTCCATTCAGCATATTTTAGAAGAAGAGAAAAGAATCCATTCATTCAGTACCAAATCGCCCAATCTCTGGCTAAAAATATCATTTAGTGTTTACTTTTACAATAACAGATACTAATGAAATGAAACCGTCAAAAGTGTGTCATAATTTTGATTACAATTTGTAGGAATGTTTTTTTTTTCTTCTCATCATTAGATAGACCTATACAATTTAGTAGACATTGCGAATGTTCGTATTCAAATTATTTCAATACCTCAATCAAGATCTCAATAAAAGAAAAAAAATGCATATTGATACACTTTGCGCGCTAGCATAAGTTCGACAAATCATTTTATTTTGAGTTGTTCACGGTCAACGAAATTAAAAACAACCTCATTTCACATAAGGATTGAAATTCAAGGTACGGCTACACCAAATACTAACTAAAAATAAAAACTAAGCGTATTGTGTATGTCGCCGACGTTTTTTTATCTTTCTTATTTAATTCATCCAATTCCAAAATTCAATGCATAACCGAAGAAAAACATCATAAAGGTGGTGTTCGAATATGATATGCACTTGAATGACTCATACCGCGATTCATATTTCATGTAATTCTTTCTCAAATAATCTAAATAGAATTTACAGAGAAAAAACTGAGCATCTTACAAATATACCAACAGAATTGATTTTTGGCAACGAACATTGTCTGTGTGCCGTTGATTGTTATGAAAATGTTTCGCAAAGGAAGTAGCCGCTAATTTGTCTTAATGTTAATTTCTGTGCCGCCGTCGCCGCCACTCGCTTTTATTTCCCCTATTCACGTTTTTTTTTATTATACACTTATTGTCTATAATGTTTCAATTTACATTTGTAAGTTTTCCCCGTGTAAAAAAAGAATCGTGATTTTTTTTTCGAAAATGATTTTTTCAAAATCATTCTCTATCAAAATAATCAAATGCTTTGCTATCGTCTGTTTGACATGTTCCGGGTTGACATTACATTATTCAATGTAAGACCAATACATTCCTTTCGTCGTCGTTGAAAACCAACGGCTCATCAATTTCATCATGGGTGTTACAAAGACGATTGTGGAGCTTATCAAACGAATGAAAAATATTGTTCTCAATTCTTTCAATGTGTGTAAATCTGATTACATATGTCATCATTTTAAATTTCCCATATAGTCTGTGCAAAGAACAAGAGCAACAAAAAAAAAATTTACGACAAAAATCAATGACGAGATAAAAATGTGTTTTATAAATAAATATTCCTGCAGCACTATACCACCGACAATGAACTGACGTAAAGAAAAATGAAGAAGAAGAATGAGCGAAAGACGACGAGAGAGTGAAAAAAAAAAACATACGAAATGATTCCGAAACATTTATTATTATTTTCTTTCGAAAATTCCGTAAAGTGTTTTCAATGCACGACAAGAGTTGTTGTTTTTGTTCATTTTGACTAACACCTTCACGGCAAACATCGTTCCGATGTGTGTAAAATGTGGTTCGAATGTGTGCGCTGTGTAAAATTTAAATATGAGAGTAAAAAATAAATATATTTGTTTGCTTTGCCAACCCATATTCGGCCAGGAATGCTTCACATTTTCTATTCCCCCAAAAAAAAACACACTTTGCTATCGAGCACCATTGTCCTATATGCTCTCACTGAAAATACATTCAAAGATTAATTTTGTTTTTGTATATGATTTTTTACCACTTTTGTCGCACCTCTCATAAATTTGTGAATTACTTATTTACATTTCAATGAATCGATTTCAAGACGCCGACGTTGCATAAAATCTTAGATGTTGATCTCAAATACTTACCAAATGATACATAATGAAGTGGGAAAAAAATGAAATTTACAAGCAAAAAATATTCGTTGAACATAAGAAACATCACTCAAACGCCATCTTCTGTTGAATAGTTCGAATCGACACATCGTCTGTCTTACTCTTTTGGATGTGAACACCTGAATACAAGTATTTTATGACGAAATAAGAAACCGTGAAGCAATTACAAGTTCATTCACTTGACATTTTTTATTTTCTCTAATACTGGACAGAGGGTTGGAAAATTGTCTGAAATAAAGCTAAATGTTTCCTACTGCAATAATAATTATTACTAAATTGGTGTGTATAATTAAAAAAAATTGTAAAGAAACACCATTAGCACACATATAATATTTCGTGAGTTTAAATAGATTTTTGTTGTTGTTGACAGAATCGGTTTGATAAATTGCTTATTCACAAAAATAAACAATGCGATCAATACTAATTCGGGTTTAATGTCAATTTCTATTCGCTTTGCTGGAATTTAATTTGCTTGTTTTGCGTTATTTGTGACAAAGATTTCTAATAATAATGACATACATAAATGTATTTTTATTAATGGTATTGTTTGTTTCATTTTGATGACTCAAATTTTGTTTATAAATTAAATATAAGCACACGATTATTTAATTATAATTAAAAACTATAAAAGAGATGCCTGATCAAATGCGCATAATTTATTTTTATATATTTTGGGATACATTGAATGTATTTGTTGACATGGTGATTGATATTTTACTTAAAATATCTGTTTGAATAATACCAAAACCGATGCAATGAGTGTCAAAATGGCAATTGGTTTGGTTCCATTTGAACCGTTGTCGCTGAATTTGTTGAAAACCTTTTCAACGAAATTCAATTCGCATGGTGTATTTTTAATTGCTTCTGATACGGACGTCATATGAATATAGAAATTAATCTTGTGCACATCTAATTTTGCGTAAATGAAATCTTGCATATTATTTGATAAAATCCAAAGTTGGTGATTCGTATCGATTGTTACCGAAATGGGATACACCATTTCAACCGGACTGGTAAATACATTGGAAACACTATAATTTTTAGTTGTGCGCCAGCATGCGATCTCATTATTATTTGGTAAAGTATAAAAGATGACTTTCTCCTTTGGATCGTACACAGCTGCGCCTGCCTGTTCATTGGTTTTTCGTGATCCAATGATTTTGAAGTCTTTGTAGTGTTCCGTTTTAAGTTTATCATTTTCAAAAATGTTTTTGTCGCGCAAAATTTTTGTTGATACATTGAATTCATTGCGTGATGTTAATGCATGAAAGAATAAATCAGGATAACCATTTTCTTTTTGTTCAGTCAATGCCAATCCATATAAACCATCATTTGTTTGAAATTTAGTGCCCAATAAGGAAAAGTTTCCGGCCAATGGATCAAAATGGAAGAAATTGTGTTTCACCTGCCAAGAGGCCTTCTCTTTAAATGAGTATACCGTTAAAGTGGGCGGCGTTGCAGCATCAGCAATATAAGCAAATATATTATCACAATCGTTATCATCAACAACAATGTTAGAAAATATCGAACCATCCAGAGTTGTATGTGGCAATTCATATCTTTGAAGAATATTATCATCACGAAGGTTAATAACTGTAACACGAGCCGGGGCCACACGTTTCATTTTAGTTGCATTCAACATGTCATCAATGCCAGTGTCGATGATCCAAAGATGATTGCAACGATCGACTTTTATATGAAATGGAGACACAATATCCAAGACGTCATTCGGATTCGTTGTTTGATGTGATTGCCAACTTGGATACGGTTTTAATAGTGGGGCATCATTTTCTGCTGGTTCTGAAATTACAGAAAATCATTAAGAAATGCTAGAAAATTAGATTATGTCTGACTATCATAAAAATTTTGGTTTATATAACAGAGGTGCGGTAAACTAATACCTGAAAATGTTAATGAAAAAATATTTTTCTTTAAATAATAATAAAGAGATACATTCATATCGTGTTCAGAGTCACTGTGACACGATGTTAATTAAACTATGTCACACGTATATTCTTTCAATCAATAAATTGTACACTGTCGAAGTCAATGGGTCTAATGTTCCATATTCATTTTTCGATGCGGATAAAACCATTCTCATGATATTTGATTATGTAATTTATGTTGGAGCGAAAAGAAAATAAGACATTATACCTAAAAAAAAGTGAATTTCAGTCATTTTATGTTATCTATGGGGTTGCTTCTTCTTATTGAGTGTGACCTCACGAATTCAATTATTGCATAGACATAGTCTCTTATAGCGTGATTTCATTATGGACTAAGACAATATATGTTTGTGAGTCATTTAGTTTCACTCTCTCATAATTCATTATGTTAAAATAATTTTTTTTTATTGCGAAGTGATATGTGCATTTTCTATGCGTGCAAAAGTTATGTATCTGTCACAAAATGACCTCTGAGGACTGTTCGTGTTTTAATGAAACTAAAGGATTATTTCTATTAAGTTTGCATGAAAACTGGCCATTTGCATACGGATAATCGAAATGATTTCATTTTGACAAATACGAAAATAGATTTCTTATGCCACCAAAACGTCACCGATTTAGATCCATCCAAATAATTAAATTCGTTATTTTTTACGACGAAACTAAACGCCTGAATGTCGGCAGAAATGTGCGATGGTCTCACCAAGTTCTTTTGTTGTCGATTCTTTCTTTTTTTTGAGTAAGAGCTCAGACAATGATTGCTATTCTCATGAATAAATGAATCACCATGGAACTTTTTCAAATGATTTGAATACATCGAATTTTAATTTCCGTTGATTTAGTTCAATTTTCATTTAACATTTTTGACAAGTAAATATCAATTGCAAATATGACCTTGACCATTCGTTTTCAATTTTGTATTAAATTGATTTTTAGCAAAATATGATCTCATTTGAATAAAACTGAGAACAAAACAAAAGACGTTGCAAAACAAAATCGAAACCGAGCTCAATCACACTGAATAGTATTTCTGTGAATGGCAAATACTGTAGGCTTGCTTGTAGGTCACAAATGGCGCAACAATAAAATGCTTCTAAAACAGTTGAAAAACCTCTTAATAAGCACCATCAAATGCAATTAACTATCAATGCTGTACCCCTTCTCTCTTATCTCAGTGTATTTTTGTAGAAAAACAAATTAATTACATGGAATAGACTGATCAATTTAATGCTAGACTAATCAACGTAATCGAAAAATGTTGTTCTTACCATCTAGGTTGATTACAGCCAACGATGCCGGTACACCGGATTTTAGGCGAGGAAACGATACAAAAAGACGATTTTCATGCACGTCCATGCCAACGGGAATCACATTTGTCTGAATAAATGCGCCGCTTTCGATGGCCTGTTGTCGCTTTTCAGCCGTTTCATACTTGAAATCGATCACTCTCCATTTGTATTTGGTGTGTAAATTATTATTGGCCCAGCATGTTGCAATTAAACAAAAACCAACGAAGATATTTACGACTTTAGCGATATGCATTGTACGTCTCAGCAAAAAAGGAACACTCGATATGCGTATTATTCACTCACAGAATTTGTAATTCTTTTGTTTGAATCGAACGAAAAAGCCGCTTATGGAAAAAAACAACACTTTTACTACTCTTTTTAAATCGGTGACTGTTTTCGTTCAAACGGTTTTTTTTTTGTTGAAGGCTAACAAGTTTTAGCCGCTCACACACAAATCAAAAGTGCAAATGTTGTAAATCGTTTATTTTTTTTTTATCGAAGATCAATTTTATCTGCACGTAAATCTTTCTGTATATGTATGTTCCGGTTAGTTGAATGTTTATTCAAAGTATTAGATACTTTCAATTAAATTTATTATTCAATTGCAAGAATAAACTTTGTGTGAAAATACAATCAAGCTATTAACACCAAATTCTGTAAAATAATAACGTTAAAAATAAAATCGGTACTTCCACAAAATCAACGTTGTATTTTATTCTAGGAATTTGTTAAAGAAAAAAAAAAGACTTCGATTGGTTGGGAGAAGACTAGAATTAGTGTTCGTTCGCGTCGAATGGTAAACGACTAATGACTGCTTGATACATGTTGAACGAAAGTAAAATGCGCGGCAAACACAAGCATGTCTATGTGTTATTCTTGCTGCTGCTGTTGCCGCTGCTATCCACAGACTAGGTTGTTTGAGAGTGTGATTTGTTTTATTACGACTTAAGTTACTATCGCGGACACTTTTGTGTAGCGCCTTATGTTTGCTAAAAACCGAACATGCTAGAGTTATGACACACAAAATTCACAAGACCATAAATTTCGAGTGGTTTGGTGTATGTATTCTTTATGCACAAATACAATCAAAAAACCACTCGAATGTTGAATCGCATTTATAAGCGTCCAGCGACAAAACCGCCTTTGGAACTGAATGATTATTTCTGGTTGACACAGTTAAAAGCAAACTAAATGTGTTTGTGAGTGTGCGGTTTGCTAGCATCGTTATTCGTTAGTCACGAAATGCCGCTGAATATGGAGTGAGGAATATTTTACTGAATGTTGGAAACGATGACGCTATTGGGAAAATTCTCAGCAATTCAAATCATAGACATAGCATTACAGATGACTCAATGGACTTAACACTCAGTGGGAATATAAGAGCTAATTGTTTCATTCCCCATTTGTTTATATTCAAATTTATGCCTGTTGCTTCTATACAAAATCTTCATACAAAAATGTTTTAAAATTAATCATCGAAAATTTCGTATGTAAATGAATCGACTCATTCATGGAATAGTACTTCAGTCGATAATTCATGAACTTGTCTGACCGCATATTTTTCCAAGTGAGTAAATAACATGCCGTATACACAGTGTGTATTATAAACATTTTTTTTTCGATGGCGACTTCAGACGCATTTTATGTAGCTTGCAATGTTTTTCTGAATCATTTTTTTCTTTCGCCACTATAGAATGTGGTACCAATGGGGAAAATAAATTCTAACACCAACTTTGTAAATAAAAATGACTTGTGCTAAAAAAAGAAAAATATGCTATTATGTGGTTACTTTCATGCTGTAAATATTTCAAGCAAATCAAAATAAATGCCACAACGAGTGACGCATCGAATATAAAGGGAAAAAATTATTATCTAGAATGAGAATGATTAAATTACCATGTATGAAGAAAGAAGAATTATGTATTCTAGTAAAATTTGTAAGTTACACTTTCTTTCTACCAATATATAGAATTTTGTTCGGCACACTTCTTGCCATTAACTCGTATTGTTTCAAAAACTCAAAACTATTTCACAGGATCTAGTTGCGATAGGGGCTACTTGAAAAGAAAAGGTCTCATACATATATAATGTAAATTTTTCCAATCAATGGGTCGAAAATAGACAAGCACCGAAATGCACCAGAATGAGCATTGAGGCGTTCATGATTGGAAAATAAAAATTGCTTACCAAGTAGAACAACAATATTTTATTCTTTTGTTATCGTTTTCTATTGCTTTACCTTTTACATGCTGTTTCTGTAATGACTTATGTATAAAAGATAATTCAGCGAATTTTTTTTCTCAAGGTTCTTTCAACTAACAACACATTTTTTTTCGGTTAGCAGATGTTTGTATGTATCAGTGGTGTTTTGGCCAAATTGAAAAAGTGAACAGGCACGAAAATAAACTGGATTCAACCTACCCGAAAATTACGCGATATTATGCATATCTGAAAATATCCATTTACTGAAACTTGAGTAGTGTCATCGAAACGGTTTTCAAAAGGGTTGTTGTGACGAGTCACATTTTTGTTTCTAACAGTAACTTGTTTTTTTGTAACGGTCGTCTGTAGTGATGTAATATATTTTCTATTTATGGTGCTATAAACAACACGTTTTCATGTTATTTTCACAAACATTTATCTCCGCTGAAAAAAAAATACACAATAATACTTCTGGGAAGAGTAAAAATGCCGTAATTAGTTTGGGATCGAACGTTTATTTTTATTTATGTTTCAATGTCATTACGAGTGTACAAAATGCACTTCTCATCATTCTAATTACGTATTACATTTAAGAATTTTTTTTTGTTCTTTTTCGACTAAATTCCTAAAAGAATTGATGATTTTTCTAAATCATTAAATTTATAATTTTGCGGCTTGGTATTCGATGTATGCAGCATTCAATCGAAAAAATTTCATTCTCTATTGTGATTAGACTTTTGATTTATTTCATGGATTTTAACATCAATTAAAATTGTACATTTATGCGTAAATAATTATTTGTTTATTTTGAATTTGGGGCCAATAATATTGTGGTGTTTATAATGAAGTGCGTAAAGTTTTTTTTCTCTCATGAAATCGCGTTATGGTAATTTTAATTTATTCAGAAATATAGTACATCTGTCTAGACTTGCGGCTCGAGTTTAAAAAAAATAATATGATTTCGAAAAAGCACCATTCCGCTATCAACTCAAATCAATTCGATCACTAAATAAACGCACATTTCTTGGCTTACTTCCATCTTTCTTGCGACCTTACTTTAACAATATAGTTCGGTATGTATACAGTTTACAGAAGACAAGGACTGAAAAGTCCAACAGCAACATTTTCAATTCAAAAAAATGAAGATTGCTGTGAATTCCACAAGAAACTCGCCTGCCAACATATTTTGGCCATATGCATGAAATCCAAAAGTATTTGACAAGGGACTTTCCACTCAACAAAATTAATGTGACAAATTTTCCATTCACAATCGTTATAATGCGAACTGAAAAAGAAAAAGAGAGTGCAATATTTGTCGCCTGTTGATCTCTTGCTTGAATAATGCACATTTTTTAATGACAGAATTTGGCCAGTAGATTAATTGACATATTGCTTTTTATATAGATTTGGGGGGTGCCAGTATTTTTTCTGTGCACTTTTCAAACAGTTGACATCAACAAGGAATCCATTGTTGATGGATCCAACATTAAAATTGTGATGCAAAAAGTAATCACTTTTATTATCACTTGCCTTCCTTTAAATATAAATTAGATACGAATCTTTATAGCATTTTTTTTTGCTTCGAAATTGAACGAGTTCGTCATCATTGCTCATATATATATTTGTTTTATACATAAATTAAATTCTGAAAATGCACATTTAAATCAGTTTTCTAGTTCATTAGGATGTACTCAAGTGTTAAGGTTCACTTTAGGAAGTCGTTTGAGAATTGCATAGCAATTAGATTAACAGCACATTATATATTGACTTTTAAGAAGTCAATTGACATTTAATATTTGGAAAACAAGCGAAGTTGGGATTGCGTCTATTTATTTGCTCGTCACTATTTGTTGTTTGTTGTTGATCATTTTGAATTGGGAGTGAGAAGGTAAAAACTAGAAAAATGTAAAAAAAATTGAAACACTACTGAGTAGAATAGCATCTGCAGAATCGAGAAAACGTGTTATTTTCGGTTTATATTATGAAGGTGAAAAACTTGGACGTGAGCTAAAATTGAAAGTTGAAGCTAAGTTTTGTAAATGGTTTAAAGTAGATTTATTATTTAGCAGCCGAGCACAAATTCAATTTCGCTTTGTTTGTATTTTCATTCAGTTTGTTTTTGTGGTTTCTACATTGTTGTGTAAATGTATGTGTGTGATTATGTTATTTATGTTCATTTGTTTCTGAGATATATATATTTTTTTCATGTAAATCCTAAATCCATTTATTTGTTGTGTGTAAGTATCTACCGGTAGGAAAATATGAAAAGGTACGTACCAATTGGTGTCCAATTTCGTGAACCTCATTCATATCTCAATGAAGGATTAAGTGTAAATTACAATTTGTGTGAAATATGTTCGTTTTAGACATCAGAATTTTGAATGAACAAAAATTGCTTTAAGTATCTTTACATTCAGCTACACAAAACTAATAAGTTTATGGAAAAATTGGCAAAACTATTGCTTGTTGTTTGTATTTTGTTGTTGTTGTTGCTGTTTAGGTTGACATAAGAGAAAATAACTTGCGTTTGAGTTGACGAAGTTTTTCAAAAGCGAAACCAAAATTTCATGCAAAATTCAGTTTTTACTTGAAATCTCGATTTGCTATTTGGTCTTCAGTATCCTTAGCCATGTGTGGGGGTCTTTTTTTCTCACACTAAAGTTGTAGCTGTTTAATAATTTGATGTGCCGTTACTGTTGTTGTTGGTTGACTGTTTTGTGTTGTTGCGTAGATAACGGAGATAGGTGCAATTGATGATTGAACTGCTGTTGGATGTGCAGTTGGAAATTGGGCCGCCGTCATCATATACAGCGGTCCTTGATTTAATCACCGAAATCTGGGAAGCATCGGCATCATCGGAGGCCCTGGTAGCATTAATCCAGGCGCAACCATTCCCGGCATTGGCGCTAATAAACCTGTGTACATTTATGTGTGTATGTGTGTGTGTTTGTACAAATAAAATTTGCATATTCACACGTACGTATAGAAAGAAAGAGAGAGAGAAATAAAAAAACACAAAAAACGATTAGAAAAGAAGCAAACAAAGTTGATACTGTTTTGGTTTTCTTATTTTATCAAATGATTTTTAAAATTAAATGCAATATTTTTTTTTGTCTCATTGTATTTTCGCTTAGTGGCAACAACTATCACGTTTGAACTATCTAGTGTGTTTTTTTTTTAAACTATTGAAAAATAAAGGTTGGAGATTAAAATTCGATATATATATATATATTGCTCACGGTTTTCGTTCAATTAATCGCCCTATTTTTGTTCGAAGGTAAGCGAATTCACACAAGTGTGACCCACATGACGAAAAGAAGGCACTCCAAAATATATACACTCACGAAGTTCCTTATTTTCATCAATCACACAAAATTGATAATTATACAATACATGTGAATTGCATATGTGTTGTTTAATTATTCTAAAAAATAATATAGTAGAAAATCGTTTGGCTTACACCTGTCCGTAAACCAAACTGAATATATGTGATTATTGTCACACGCAAATTCTACAAATCAAATAATAATAATTTCCCGATGATAAAATTCCAACACCGACCAAGAAAACAACAAATTTGGATGAATATTTTAAATTAACTTACTAAGCTAAGAAAATACAATCAAAATAGATAGAAGCATTTCGCATTTGACACAAGGTAAAAGAAAATGGAAAATGATGTGTGTATGTAGTATTTGCATTGAGTTAATTGAGACATTAACAACTTTCGTGATAATATGAATTGCATAAACGGCATGACAAATTTATTATTATTAAATCTTGATTCAATTATGAAACAGTATCAACAACAAAACGATTAGTATGCCATGCTTAATTTATCACAATTACAAAATGAAATTCATCAAAATCGTGTGAAGAGACGAACAAGATAAAATACAAACATTACAAGGCGAAGAAAAAAAATCAACATGAAATTTGCAATTGAAAGATTATTGAATAGAAAAAAGACCGAAATGAGAGTGCAATGTCAAAACAAGTAACATCAAATATCATTATTCAATTTCAGTCCAAACAGTTTAAAGACAAAAATAAAGATACGGAAAATGTAACTAAAAATACAGAGCAACAATGATCAAAATCAAACATTGAGTGGAACTCATGTGCCGTATGAAACGCTATGTGCTTCAAATATGATTAATTTTTGGTTTTTGTTTGTCACACACAATAAACAAAAAAAAAGAAGATAGTTTTACATTAACTACACATAATCACCAAACGATTTTATATAAATTAAACATTTACGGATTATGTTTGTTCTTTTGTGTCCATTTTGAGCTGATCAGGAATTTATTTAACAATCCTCTTCACGAGTATAAAAAAAAAGATGGAAAGAAACAAATGAAAAATTAATTTTAATCTAAAAGTCGCCCATAAATATGAAGTTTTTATGTGATTTTTTTTTTTTGCTTTCTCTGTAAATTATGATTTTTTTTTGTAAATCTCCTAAATGAACAATGGTTGAGACGTGCACTTCTTTCTACTTTACTACCAGCAATGAAATATATGTAGCTATTTGGCAAATATTATAGTTTAGAGTAAAGAGCGTAATTGAGATTAGCGTAGAATGTAGCTCATCACAAGAGAGACATTTAATGAGAACGAAAACACAAAATAATATTTAGAAAAATAAAAAATAAGATGATATCGGTAAAAACGTTGCGTACTCACCACTCAAATTTATAAATTAAAAAAAATTGAAATACTATTTTAACACATTTTGAACACATTAATACAATTTGATAAACTAAAATTGATCTGGTCTAAAGCATAATCAAAATCAAGAACAGAAACATGTGTAAATTCAACTCAAGTTAACATCAAAAATTGAACGTTTTTTTAACGATTTAAGGACAATAAGTGAAAAATCCACAAATATACCGGTTGAATCAATTTTTAGAGAAAAACACGCATTCTTTTACTGTCTGTTTGCATATTTACCGATTTTATGAACGTTTTTGAAGTTATCTATTTCAAATGTGTTTCGTTGTCTTGAAAAATTTTCCGCTTGAAAAACTGTCATTTATAATTTAATATGTTTATAATTGAAGGTGGTAACGCTTATAATAAATTAAATACTACATAGGCAATAAAAGTTTTGGTTTACAGTGAATCTAATATTTTTGGTAGACAAAATTTTGCATGACAAACTCCACTCACACGCCATTCGTATATGAATCCAATGTTAGTGGAGAGTTTCTCTGCTTACTTTGCTCGTTATTTTGTCTATCAAAAAAATTAGTTTCACTGTACACTGTCTAGTTCTGATTTTAAAAATAAATAAAAATAAAATTAATGTGTAACAGACTGAAAATTGTCATGCAAAATTTTTAAAAAACAAAAAAAATAACTATAAGTATTAGTACTTGTTTTAAGTAGAACTAATTCCAGTTCATTTTTTGGTTTTGACGCTAACGTTTTAGATTTTATGGAAAGAAGACAAAACCAAAAATACCAAAAATATACATATATATAGACATATAAGATTGTCCGAGAATGAATGTGAGTCTTCTCGTGAGAGTTTATTGAAATGTAACACCGCCATACAAAAA